GTCGTAGGCGTCGCACTAGCTTCCCTCCCAACAACGCCACGTGGGCGCCTCGGGGGTTTGCTAGCTCGTCGTAAACGTCGAGGTGGAAATCTAAGTTTAGGGAATATACCTTTGGGGCCGGTGGACTGACGGTCGTCGGCGAAGGCTCGTGGATCGAGGAAGGCCCGGGGACCGAGGCGAGAGAGGGTAAGCATTTAAGCATTTATTAATTATAATTAATATCAATTAATTAAAATTAATTAAGAAATTATTTTTAATTAATTATTCATAATTAATTAAATTTAATTCTAATTTAAATTAATTATAATTAATTAGATTAATTATAACAACTTAATTAAAATTAAGTGTAATTAATTATAATAAATATAATTAATTAAAAATAATTATTATAATTAATTAAAATTAATTAAAGTAATTATAATTAAATATAAAACCTTTTTTTTATTTTATGGGATTAGGCCGAAGAAGCTTGCCAAAGGAAGAAAGTTACCTATACAGCAAGCAGGCTCCCTTCCCCACTTCCGATCAAAATGTCCGATCTTCCGATCCAACAGGCAGGGCAAGTCGTTGAAGGCAACGAAGTCGGACGGCAAGGGGGAGCCGGAGAAGCGCGTGAAGGGAGTAAGTTAACTTCACTGCAAGCGGGCTCCTGTCGTCCTTCCTCTCAAAATGTCGTAACCTCTGTTCCGACTGGAGGAGAAAGTCGTCGATGGAGCGCGGTCGAACAGCCACCAGGAAGTCGGGGAAGAGGCGCACGTAAGGGAGAAAGTTGTCTTCACCGTCGGTGAGCTCCCCTCTTGCTTCCGATTGAAATGTCGTAACTTCCGATCCTACAGGAGAGGAAGTATCGACGGAGCACAGCCGAGCAGCGACGAAGGAGCCGTGGAAGCGACGAAAGGGAGAAAGTTTTCTGCACAGCGAGCGAGCTCCCCTGTTCGTGCTTCCGATCGGGTGGAAGGGAAAGTCGGAGAAGGTGCGAAGTCGAACAGAGACGAGAGAGGGAGTGTGAGCAGGAGGAAGAGAGCAGGCGGTCGTGGATGTCGAAGCCTTCGGTTGGTGCGATATTTAACGACCTCAATGGGTAACGATCGAGGCGAGATGCGGGATTCATGGGAGGCGACGCGAACAGCGCCGAATGCACAGTAACCCGGCGGAATTCCTTGCGGGATTTACGGGATCCTATACGAGGTAAGCTGCTTTTTGTTCTTTACTTAGAGGTTAACAATAATATAAAAAAAAAAAATAATTTGTCGCTCATTACACGCAACACAAAAATGAAGAGGGCCATCCTGGGAGAGAAAGGAGTTAATAACATGTTTATTATTCTTTAATTTCCTCCTGGAACTCTTCTGATTATATTTATTGTATCTTTTTTATTTTAAATTTAATAATCTATGATGAGAAGCCTCTTATGGTTTTTAAATAAGAGGCTATTTAAGATTATTGAATTCATAAATCATATGAAATAACATTTTAAATTTCTCTCCACAAATCCGCACCTTATCTTTCTGCTCAATCGCTTCCTCTCTCTAATCAATATTCCCTCCTATTAATTATTAACTCTTCCTCACTACTGGGATTCATCACCCCAAAGAGCAGACAAATTGAGGCAAGGAAGCATACTAATTAAGTAGCGAAGGAGAAGCTAGAGAAAGCAAAAGGAAAGTGAAAGCAGGAGAAAGGGAATCCTCCAACAAGCTACGATTAGATATTAATTTCTATTTATCAGACTTCTAATTATTTTCCACAATCCAGTAATTTACATTAGTAATCCTACTCGCATGAAAACCGTAAAGTCCATTGATGCATGAAAAGCATCCCACATTGAAGGCTATTATTGTGTGATCAAAATCCTAAAACATGGAAACTACAATAAGATTATGGTTTGTAAAGGTTAACTCCAACTACAGGACTCTAATCAAGACCTGTAAAACTACTTAGAGTTGTGGATCGCTCAGTAGATTTAGGACGCATAGAAATATGAAAGCTCCACTCTAAGGCCTTGATCCTTAAACCCTTAGCATTGCTAGGAGTGCATGAAAACTAGTCTCCTTATCTTGAATAACTTATTTATGGAGGTTTGGCTAAGTTTATTCTTGATATACCTTTCATACAATAATGCATTTAATGGATAGGAAAACATGGTTGTTACAGTGGGGTATAAACATGGTTTAGAATGGTTGAATAGGCCATGTGACATGGTGTCGTTCATCATCATCTGCCTCAACCAATCTATTTTGTCAACTTTTTGGGTTCCTTCTTCACAAGTAATTCCATCAAGATAATCACAATCATCAATACCATCATCAAAAAAATTTTGAACCTCAAGCCTGCTCTGCAGCATTTTAGTGCATCCAAAGAAACCAGCAGACATACAATCCTTTAAATTTGAAACTTAACTTCTCTAACCTATTGAACTAGGACAACTAGTGAGCCTTTTCAATGCAAATTTATTGCTAATCGATATTACACATAATACTTAAATAAATTCACTCAAATAAACATACTAAAATTGAGTAATACATGAAAATGTAACTATTTTTTAGGTGCTGTGCTATATCATAATGTGGTCTCCACATTCATGCCATGCATGTAGATTAACACACTGCTGAAAATTATATGTGGTTTCTTATAAAACATTAATTATTCTAAGGTTTAGGGTAGGGGAGAAAGGATGATGGCTGGGAGGAGCAGGTGGTAGGGAGATGGGGCAAGCTTGCTAGATATATCAATGAATACTGATGGAACTAAACAAAAGAGCATGACACTTCTTTATTGTTTTAATGATTGAAGCCTTGTTTCTAAATGCTTTCGTGAAACATTAAATAAAATGGAAAATGGAATAAAACTGATATTAGTTCAGACATCTAGATTAGAGAACATTATCAGGATAAAGAACTGAAGCTAAGAATAGAACCTGCTCATCGAAATCCATATTTTGATCTTGGGAAGATACATCAGCTACCGTTAGGTTTCTCTCAGAAATAGGCTGAGAATATCTGCCTGCAATTTCAGAAGACATGGAGTTCGTCACTTTAAAATTTTCAGTGTCAACTTCACGGGCATCCGGCCTAACTACTGCAGTATCTAAAACTGTCCTCAAACTCATACAAATTTTCTGCATAGTGACAGAGAGGTTACTTAACAAGAGCTGCTGCTCTTTGGCTCCTTTGCAATTCAATGGGAGAAATAACTCTAATATGAAATCATCATCCCCGGTGTAGGTGCTTCTTAACCTGATAGCAACAGCAGCATGTAAGCCAAACTTGCGAGCATGATGTACAAGTGGATAGTCCCCTATGTCATATCCTTTTACATCAGGTGAGAAAAATGGATGATTTGATAAAAGTGCTTTTCCTGCAATGCCTTGCCCTTTAGTAAGGTAATGCTCAGCACAGGCTTGCAGAAAACCATGCATTTGTGAATCATTAACATAACAGGCTGACTCCTGAAGGCAAAGCATGCGTTCCATTAGATATGGCTTGGCCTTCGATGTAGAAGCACTACCAGCAACATCATCATCAATTGTTCCAGGATTACATGCCTTGGGCATCCACGTAAGTGCCAAAGGTAGCATATGTGCATGGCAAACAGCTCTTAGAACATCTAATATCTCTGAAAGTGCAGATCTCTGCTCCTTTGTAAGATTCTGAATGTTATTACAAGCAACACACTAAGAACTGAATCAAGCTTACCATTCAAGAATCATGTTAAGACAGAATTATAATGCACTTGTTAGAAATAACAATGCATCTGCTAGTACCTGGTGATGCACGCGTGATTTGGTTGTCCTTAAATCCACAGCCTACAAGTAATAGGGCAATACAAATTTCAGAATTTAACAAAGACTTTCAGGGGTACACGATATCCTAAACAGCTGAAAATGCATATGATAACTAATATATAGATTTGGACGCTTAAGAGGAAGGAACAAGGGCGGAATAAAAATATTTTATTAGCGGGGGCACAAATTCATGATCTTTACAATACTCTTAATTTTCACACACACAAATATATATATATTATCTACGGCAACTCCTCTTCCTTTAATCATAAAAGATGTGTTTTTAAAAATAAAATATTGTGGGCATTTATTATCTACTTGTGAGCGACTTTATTATCTGCTTGCTGTGGACTTTTTACTGGCCAGTGGGTGCCTGTGCTCTCAAGGCACCCATAGTAGATCTACCAGTGGGGGAAGAAATGTCTTATCTAGATAACTAAGTGTAAGGAGATAACAAAACTCAGCACACTAGCTAGTGAATATTCAGCATGGCTATAAGTCTAATAAAGAGATTTTATTCAGAATTGAAATATAAAAGAAATAGATCAAGAATCAGAAAATTTACATATGAGCGACTACCAATATCAACACAAAGGGGCATTTCACTCTCCTCTATCCAGTCTCTAAGGCAAAGGTTAAAGCCTAGTGCAGAAAATAAAACTATGTTAAGGAAATTTCAAGAACATGACACAAATGATATTATATGCTCTACTTAGGGAGAAAAAAAGAAGATTTTCAACAATTTTTGATAAAATAAAATCAAAAAGAACCTGCAGAGCCCGACAAACATTCTCCATCTCAACATTAAAATTTGACTTCTCTTTCATTGTGACAAGTTCAAGAACTGCACGACACCCGGATTGATGGGGATCAAAAACTGGCACAGCAAGTGATCCCCTAACATCATGGCTGATAGCATATTGTACCCTCAGGTATTCAAACTTGTTGTAGTAGAGGACATTTGAGGTCCATTCAGGAAGCCCTGAGATGAATACACGGCCGGGCACTCCAGGAAACATCCCAGGAGTTTCTTTTGCAGAGAAAGTGAAAATCCTAGAAACCTCACGATACCCAGCAAGAACATTATCCAGAAGAAACGGCTGCTCGGAGGTGCTCAACATATAATTATCACCTTGCTTAACAGGTATCCATACTTGGGCAAGGATACCCCCACCAGAAGACTCCTTGAGCAAGGATAGCGCCTTAAGCATCCTGTCAGAAAAAGTAAAATCCCCTATTGATTTGAGAATAACGCTTGAAGTTCCATTCTCAGCTTTCTCTACAGAATCAACTTCACCCTTCTTAGCCGAATTCGGTGAATACTCTGATTGCAAAATAGGTTTTTGAGCTGCCAAGTTTTCTCTAAACACACAATCTCCATCCCCAGAAGCTCGTTCATCCTCTAAAACGGAATCCGTAGCTTGCTCCAAACCACATGGAGATGTCAAAGAGGCAGAATTCCCAAACAGAGGATGCAAAGATGAGTAGTTAAAGGAAGAGAAGAGCAAGTCGGAAGACAAAGAACTTGAAGAATCATTAAACCAATCGAGATTCAATAGTCCCGACATGTTGAGCAGATCCTCCGATGTGGGGCTTCCAGCGCCACAATCCATAGCCATAAGGTGTGAAAATCTAAAGGAATTCCAGCCTTATCTCTCAGAATCATGAACTAATCCCCCCCTAGAAAAGGCAGATCCTTCGCTCCGAACCGTCCCAAGTAGCGCCGCTCTCCCCACACGCATTGAAAAAGTCACTGAATACCATTTTCCAGATATAAATACTATAAATGCTATAAAAACCTGATCTTAGAGAACGAGATAAGTGAGATTTTCCTGGAAGAAACCCTAAAGAATCACTGTGAAAGAGCTCTCCTATCAGAGAGTTGAGAAGCTAGGCGCTGTCCGTAAGAAGGACGCCAGAGAAGATGAAAGCAAGAAAAGTAGCAAGCTTCTTTGACCTTCGAAGAGACGGTTCAAAAACAATCCACGCTCCTTCTCACCCTCCGTGAAGAAGTGGAAATTTTCCAGCAAACTGTAAAAACTTAGACGATCCTGTGAGCTCTTAAGCAAAACTGTCGCAAGCTGCCGCCTTCAACAGTTTTTTTTTTTTTTTTTTTTTTTTTTTTTTTCTAACTAATTTTTTTTAGCAGCAGGAATTTAATTGGGAAATATTTCTTGACGTATATTTTAGAATATTTTTAAAAGTTTCTTACACATTAAAATGCCTTTGATTCAAACAAATTTTGCATGAGTTAGAATAAAGTTCGAGGAAGAATATTTGAAGTGAATTTAACAAAATGTTATTCAAATTTTATTTGAAATAATTTCAAGTATGATTCGAATATATCTTGAATATGATTTATGCATATTTTGAATAATTTTAGAATAAAATTTGACTTTTTGAGTTCTAAAAAAAAAGATGAAAATAGTTTCAAAAATATCCTTATTCATACATGATTTGGAGGATGTATTTGAATAATGTTTAACAATTATAGGTACAATATTATGTGTTGTTTATAAGATAAATACAATAGAATATAAAGCAAAAAATTTATTACATTATTTCATAATCAATTAGTGTTATTATCTCAAGAATTAAATTAAATTTAAGCTATAGCAACAAGAAGTATTTTTTTTCTTTTATAAAGATCTTCTAGAAGTATCTCCTTGTAATATTTCAATTGTTAATTTTTTTTTTTCCATCTGAAGCCTATGCAGTCATGTTTGTAATTAGTTCTAACTGATATTACACTAAGGCTTTATTTGGGGCGGCTATTTTAATGCTTCTTAAAATAGTTTTTTAGTACAAAAATTAAAATTTTTGTACTACAAAGCTGCTTTAAGAAGCAGTGAGAAAGCCGTCCCAAACGAAGCCTAAATCTACATCATACACTGAATTTTCAATCCTCACCTAATACGTATTTATTCTTCCTGTGATTTGAAAGTTATTGTCCCATGTATCTTTTTCCTCTTGATAAGACATCCCATTACAGGCCAATTCTTTCTCACTTTCTACACTTAGATTTTGCTCTATTGATGCATCTTCAAGTTTGTAGGAAGTCATTTGAGTGTTATATAAGCCAATTAAATGAAAAGTTATATTGTTGAACCTCTTATCTGCATATATCTAATATGGTTTAATAATAATTTTATTGCATAAAATCTTATTTAAGAGTAAGGCCTCCATAAGTAATAAAAAAAGGAACTTCTAAAGCTCTCATCTAAGTAAGATACATGAACTTATGTTGAACAGTTGTGAACATACATTTTTTCTTAGGAAAAAATTTTATTCTTCCCATCCTAATCTCTTCAAACAACGCATTTAATAAGATTATTATTCTCTCAAAATAAGTGTTGAGACTGTGATTTTACGAGTTACCGCCCTTTAAGTAGGCTCGAATGTTCATTCTTTTGCATTATAGTTGTTGATGGTAGACATATGCTAACATTAGCAAAAGGTTTAGCACAAAAACAAGATTCAACCTAAGAGTTGGTAGTGGTTGAAGAAAGCTTTAAATATGAAGTAGTACCATGTGTGTGTGTGTGTGTGTGTGTGTGCAATATTCAAATTATAAAGTTCCAACATTAAACTCAGGATCATCCAAACTCTAATTTCAATAAAAATACAGTCTAATTGAACTTCTCAATAGCCCATCAACTTTAGAAGTGAACCAATACAAGTCCAATCATGCACTTGGAGCGTATTTGAACATTTTCATATACTAATTAGGTGACCAATGATCTACAAATTCTATATGATTATAGTTAAATCAAATGTCTCAAAATATTTTCATCTATCACATTCCCCAACATTCTTCCCTTTTTATCACACATTTCAAACTCATGAACATAAAAATAAAAACATTTTCAACATGAATCAACAAAACATTGACATTAATATTTTTAATATGTATAACTAACAACATCATCATTTTTAGCATATTATAATAATAACATCAACCATGTCAAGACATAAAAATAATATTAGGATAATGCAAGAATATATAAAATATTCACATGTACGGCAACCTTGGTATTTTTTTAAGAAAACACTTGCATGTATACTTAATATTGGAAAAACATTAAACCATTCATAGATTATTTTTATGACATAATTTTTGTGCTTTTATTGCTATAGCCCTTTCTATCAATGCCAACATAATCAGTATGACACATGAAAAACTGCTCATTTAAATTTACTTGGTGAAACTTAGAGCTTTCTTATAAAAATGCTCAAAATTTTCTATTATGTGACATACCAAGAGTTATCCAGTGGAATGTTTTCCAAACTTTTTTAAATCTGATAAAACCCCTTAACTTTACACAAATTAAAAATTGAAGTAGGATAATGGTATACTCCTATATATCTTGATACAAATAATTCCTTCAACTAGTTGATTGATGTATTTGGCTCTATAGCCTTTAGACCTTAGCTTCTTCTTTTATTTTCTTTATCTTTCCTTGTTTCTCCTCTCTAGCTCATCCTCTACATTTGTAACACCAAGTGCTACAGTGTTTAAGATTGGTCTGGACCTAATTTAGTACGTTTGAATACTCTATTATTTCATTTTGCACTTGTTCGTGAACATGTTATGTGTATGAATGCATGAATTTTATTCTAGAGTAGATCCCAAAGGTTTTTTTGTATTAAATCTAAAACCTTGAATTTTTCCTTGGGAGCACAATAGCACTAGGGTTCGCAGTCCCACGTTGTTGAGTTCTCTATTATTGAGGCATTTATAGGAGGTGTTGTGGTGTTTGCCCAAGGCATTGCAAGATCGTGCTATTTTTTTGATTGAGAATTTAAAAGGATCACTGCAGTGTAGGTTCTTTGAGCACTACTGCACTAGCATCATATACTTTATAATACACTTTTTTTATTTATTTCATTTCATTTAACGCCCTTAGATATTCAGCTAGAGAAAGAGAGAGGGGAGGATTTCTAAAGAGAAAAATTCTATTTTGGGCGACTTTGGGTCAATTTCATTTATTAGTGTAGTCCGGTAAATTATCCGGGTCAATCTAGGTTACATTTTACCTATTTAATTTTTTAATAATTCAAACTTTTCTAACTTTCGCTAACATTTTAATTAAAATTTTGATGCAAAACTAAGTATATCTATTCATTGGGAAAATTTTTACAATGTAACTTTTTGTATGTCATAGTTGATAATATTTTACACATTTTAATATTTTATTTATGATTTTCACTGGGTAGTTTTGAAAATGAACCATTTAAATAATATAGAAAATATTATGATCCCTACAAATAATGTTGTAGTATAACAAAAGTTCTAAAATAGGCTATGAATAATATGTGGTAATCTAGAGAATTATGAATATATATATATATATATATATATATATCCCTTGAATTTTTGTTTGTTTGGATATTAATATGACATTCTATGAAACTCTACGATGACTCTAACATTATGTGCCATATTTAAAAATACATTTTTTTATGTGCTTATGTTCTTCAAATGTGTGAATCTTCATGAAATCTAATATTTGGGGGGAGTTCTGATGTGTTATGCTAGGAGGGCCTAAAATCTTTGAATATCTAATACGTTAAGCAGTGGGAGTTATAAGCCTATTTTTTTATATGCTAACATAGAGAGTTATAAGTGCTTGAATTTTGATATCTAAGGGAAGCTATAAGGCTCAGAAATACTTACTATTTTATTTCTTTACTGTGCTGTATCTCTATTATTTTGCCAAATTTAAGCATTACAGACACTATTTATTACTATTTAACTATTTATGCATTCTAAATAATTTGGTTAGACCTTTGTATGAATGAATTTACTTTATCATATTATTCTCGTCTTAGTATTAATTATAATAATTATTAAAGGCCTTGGTAGATTGATGTAGCTTGCTGAGCTATGGTTGCTCTTACTTTATTTCAGTATATATTTCAGGTCAGGATAATGGGAATGAACAAGCTAAGTAGATAACGGTTATAAGATCAGACTTAGAGTCGTTATTGGTATGTTAAATGATTTTGAGAGTCATGTATTTTTTTTGTCATATTATATTTCTGTCATGTACTAATTGTATATAATTATTTTAATTAAAAAAATTTTTGAGATGAATAAAATATATTTTGGTGTTGAGTATTTATATGTTTTAATTGAAGTTTAGTGGCTATGTAGTATGTAAATTACTTGAAATTTTTGTAATTCTCTCCAGTTATATTCTACAAAAATTTTGGTGCCATGATCTAACATGGCATGATCCATTATATCCATGGGTTATACGGGGTCAAGTTCTAACAAAAGTTTTTAGTATTAGAGCAATGGTTTGGAGAAATTTATTATAATATAGCCATATGATTGATCTATAGGTAAAGTGGGAGAGTTCATACTAGTATCATGTATTCATTCTATTTTTACTTTCATGTGCACGTATCTTTCCATTGTGTGCATTTTGTAATTTTATCTGATGAATCCTTAAGATATGGCTATAATTGATGGGTAAAGTTTGAGTCAAACTTTTCTAGTGATGAGTATAATGGGAGAACTTAATTCTAATTCTATTTTATAGTTTGTTGGGTTAGTAGCATAATTGATGGGTGAGGCCCAAAGTAGACTATTTGCAAATTGGTTGATGATATTGATAGGCATTTATACATATGTTTTAGGCTAAAACACCCTGGCCTCCCCTCTACTTTGGTTTTTACTGTTGGGGGGAATTTTAACATATTAAGTTCCAGGATAATATTTCATAAGGCATATTAGATTTGAAGATAAGACACTACCCAGAGATTTTGCTCTCATATTGCGAGGACTTTATATGATCTGAGTTCAGGTTTCCTATAATCGCAAGCCCCTATAATTAATTACCCCTCCCGATCATGAGTGAGAACTTTCAATTAAGGCTAGTCATCGATGAATATGTCATACCCATTTATATGTTATATATGATATATAGTAACAATATTTGTTTTGTTTGTGGAAGTTTGATATTTAAAATTTAAAATTTCACCATCTTGCACTTAAAGCGTATGGTTGGGGGAGTAATGATGAGTCAGATCAAGATCCTATGGTTTTTTTGTCCCACGCTATTGTGAT